TCTCTACCGGGAGCTACAGGGAGGAATGGGTCTGCACTCAAACTTCTTACGGAAAGGCACATAGGAAGATGTTTTTTGCTACTGCAGAACACATCACTGTTGCCGTCATCTGCACAGACAGGGAGAGTTGGTGCTGTTACCCACGTGACAGTGGAGAAGGAGAATCTGCACACGGTTCACAAGGAGTATGGTATTTGATGGAGCCAAACCAGCTTTCCATGGCAATAGCAGTCGGATCATCGGTTGTTGCTATGCTTTGCTTCACCTGCCTGTGGATGTGTAGAGGCTCTCAAGGAGTGATTAACTGAATACGCGGAACATCCTCTCGTTTGCGGGCCTTAACGTCAATGGCCTGGGAGATAACAACAATTGGAAACGTACAACGACCTGGACTTAAAGTACGAAATCAGCGGATGAAATTATTCTCTCAGACACTAGAATAACGACAGACAACCCTTACTGGTCCACTCAATCTCTCTTCCTTCACTGCTACCTCATCTGTTACTCGCGCTGGAGGAGTTGCAATTCTTAGCCATAGAAATAACCTCTCCTTTCATAACCCTCTAGCTCACCCTTTTGGTAGACTCATTAAGACTGAGATCCACTGTGCTAGCCTACACCTCATCCTGATAGCGGGTTACTTCCTTGCAGACAAAGCTGTGAGACGAACGTTTATCAGGACGGTCCTTGGCCCAACAGTTAACCTCGTTCCACCAGGCTCCCATCTGCTCATAGCTGGAGATCCTAATATAGTTGAGAAACCAGTGCTTGACAAGACATCAAAGCATGGTTCAACAAGGGAGGATGATCAGCTTTACCAGTGCTGCTAAGCCTTTGACATCGCTGACGCCTTCCGCGCTCTTTACACATTCAAACGTGAATTCACTTTTTACTCAGAGGTACACCAGGAGAGTACGCAGATTGATCGACCGCTGTTCTCTCGTTCCCTACTCCCGCGCCTTGTGTCCGCCTCGAATGTCATGTCCGATGAGCCGGTTTCTGATCATGGCTTCGCCATCCGTATCGCCTTCAGTGTCAAATCGCAGCTGCAGACGGGCCCAAGTTTATGGCGCCTGCACTCCTCCATAATGCACACACCAGGGGTCCGGAAGCTAATAGACGATGTGGAGCACCAGGTTGCACAGAAGGGTGATGGTTTTGAAGTCCTGATCTCCCGCTTGAATGCTGGCCTTCGCGTATATGCTAAGGAAGAGAGCAAGCGGATCATGGCGTCAATCAATCACCTTACATCATATGTTGCAGCCATGAAGCAAGCATTCATATGCAATCCCAAAGATCAAATTCTAAAGGAGAGGCTGAGGAAGCGCGAACAGCGCCATGCATGCTGGAGAGAGAGAATTCACATCATGGCGGGGATGGCGAAGGAACTTGCCGGCGAAATCCCCTCACGACATTTATCGGCAAGGATTAAGGTGCGGAGAGCCAATACGCAGATAGCTGAGCTGGCGGTCCCGGGTGGGGTGGTAGCAGAACCAAAACAGATCCTGGAAGCGGCGTCGGAATACTTCTGTGGTCTCTTTGGAGCGGACACGAGAATGGCGATAGCAGATTGGGTTCCAGCGGCAGGGAAGAGGATGTGGTTCTCGGATGCGGAGTGCCTGCAGGAGGCCTGGATGGAGGCAGAAGTGAAGTGTGCTCTTCGGGAGATGGCCGTAACAAGACCCTGGGGAAGGACGGGCTCCTAAAGGAGCTGTTTGAGCAGCACTAGGATGTATTGGGGAAGCATCTCATGGCGTTGGTGGAGAGCTTTACCGCCTCTACCTTGCTCCCAACCAGTGTCAAGAATGCCGTTACTATTCTCCTACATAAAAAAGGGACAGAAAATCGATTGAAAATTTACCGGCCAATAACCCTGTTGAACTTCAGCTACAAGTTGTTGGCACGTGTTCTGGCGAGCGGAATCAAGAAGGTACTTCACAAAGTAATTTCAAAGGAGCAGTTCGGATTCATACCGGGGAGACGGGTTTTTTACGCGGTTGAGCTGGTAACTGACGTCATCGACGCGGCCAAAAACGGCAAGGAGGACTGGTTCATGCCGCATGTTGATTTAAAAAAGATGTATGACTCAGTGTCCGGGACTTCTCCTTTGAGGTGTTAAGAAGGATGGGCTTCCTGGAGCGCTTTGTCGGGTGGGTGAAGGGGCTGCATGAGAACACACGCACGATTTTGTTAGTCAACACGACTATGCCTTGCTCGCAGCTGCCTGTTGTTGGCGACTGTAACGTAGGTGACCATGGGAATTGCGGTCGCGTTGGAGATGTAGCGCATCGACCCCACCATGTGCTGCCCACAACAACTGTCCAGGTACCAGTTGTTGTGATTGTCGGGATACCGCGCAAGAGAAGCGCGAGTCGCGGCGTGATCGTGGTCGCCCTGTCGATTCTGGGGAAGTCTAATTGTTGGTTCCAATCTAGGGGAACAGGTTGCTGATCATGACGGTAAGGGGGAATCTTGCAGATTTGGATAGGCAAGTTCCAGTCTTGCTCGTTATCGTCGTTGTGGTAGTGATCGTCGGTAAAGGAATTATTATGATCCACTTCAGGCTGTATTGTTTCGCTGACATGCTCTTCATTTTTGTCAGGCATAGTAGCACGTGCGCGATGGCGCGTCGCCATATTTCCAATGACATACCTTGTTCCTCCCGTCCATGGTGCTTGTATCTGAGAATGCTGTTGCAGTGTAGGTGGACGGGGAGCATGAGGTTGAGATTGACGAACGTCTTGTCGGCCAAACCAATTGTTATGGTGTGTGGAGTTGAGGTGGCGATTGCTGGACCGGAATCTGCATCGGTGCGTTGAATGCCCGAAGGCTTTTCAAAATTTGAAGTAGTGGCATCGCGATTGTCGTCGCTCTTCCCGGTTGTCAGTAGAGATGGCGAGGGGCGTGGAGCTTGTCATGCTCGAGTCCATGTCTTGTTGATCGACGAGAAGTGTAGCTTCTGAGATTGCCCCCTGCTGTCGGAGTAGTGCCTTGCAGGGCTTCCACTCTGGCCCGAGCCCGACAAGCACTATGTTGAAGAAGACTTCTTCTGAAATTGTGCTATCGTGCTTCGCGATTTGGTCGAGGATGTTCCGACAGCGAATAATATATGAATTCACTTTCTCCCCGTGCCCCATCTTAATCTCCATGAGTTGCTGCAGGATCCTGCTAGAGGTGATAGAATCTTTCAGTTGATACACATTCGCCAGGTGCTTCCAAGTGTCAGAATCAATGTGCAGGAATGAATGAACTAGGCAACAGTTGGATACAAGTAAAAAACCCTAATTGGGTTATCCCCTCTAGAGCGAACCTCACTGTAGCCTACAAGCTAACAAACATATAGTTGACACCAAGCTTCCAGTGCTGGAATTGGGTTCTCCTTATACGAGCGGATGCCGAGTTACTTCGCGGGCGCCATGTTCCGACAAAATTCCGAGTTGTTAGCTGCGCGAGGGTAAATTTCGGGCTCTGGTCTAACCTCTGGTCAAACCTCTTGTTAACCCAGAATCATACATATTTCTCACCAATTGTGCTAATTGTAAGGTTGGCAATAGTGTTTACGAGAGATTCTGACCAAAGCCCGGAATGTGCCCTGAGAGTGGTTGGGTTTGGTTTTGTCGTTGGTGTTTGTTCACGTATCTTGAAGTTGACGTTGCGATTGACTGTGGAAAATTCTCCACCTGCCCCTGCCTTTGGCAAATTCTCCTCAGTCAACCTTCTCGCAACTCTTTCCAAATTCAGTCTTTGTAAACCCTTGTCATTCTAGGCGCCGGCTTTAAAGCTGATACTTATTTGGGCCTGCTTGTGCTAGCTGTTCAAGAGTAACGGGGAGGTAACAACATTATTGCAGAAGTCGGCTTGATAAGGGCATGTAACCAATTTGATTTTTTGCGTTTTAGCAGACGGTCCTCATATTTTAAAACAGACGGTCCAACTAACGAGAACGAAACCGCCTGCTTAAACGTTTCGATTTTTTTCCACCGTTCGGGTAGGAAAGTGACACTTTCTGCTTGTTCGTCGTTTTTGCGAGCACTGTAGCCTCGTTATAGGTGGTGTATCTTTGTGACATGATTCGAGGCAGCTCGTTAAATCGGAAAAGGTATTGTAGATTGGGTTTCACGCGCCATTTTCTAGACAAGACTGGCGGACTGTCCGAATTGGTTTCGGAGCATCCGCGATTCACATTGTGAACCGTTGAAAGAAGGAAAAAGTGTCACCACGGTTCGAATTGTTGGCGACGTCGCACAAGCATTCGCGAAAACCTAAACAGGAAAATGTGAATCGAGTAACCTTTTCGTCAACCGGACGGTCCACGGTTCGAACCGTCGGGAGCAAAATGGTTACACGCCCTAAGCATACAAACAAAGGATACCACTGCTGAACCTTCCATTTGTTGTGAATGGGCATGCTCTTCATGTGCCACGCTACTGTGCCACTCCAACCCCTTCCCCTCAAAACACCCTCGTTACATTTATCCTAAGAACTCATCCAAACCACTCAACTCCTCCAAAGCCTATTCCAATCACTCAAGTTACAAACTTCCTTTTCAACTCAAGCCTATCAACCACCTCCATAATCACTCCCAACCACCATAGCCATTCCTAATCCAACTCAACTAAGGCTTCAACAACTTTTCATATTCACCTCCGAGTCTCACCACAAGGCACATGACTCCTCATGATTTTTCATATGCTTTCTTTCCATACTCACCAAATATTATCCAAGCCATCTACCTCCTCCAATATTCCTCCTTCCATATGCCTTCAAGCAAATGCTTCCACTTCCTAGTCACCAACCTCCACATGCCTCCTTCCTTCCTTTCCGAAGTCACCAAAATTGCCAACTCATCCCTCAAGGACTTCAAAATTATCCCCTCACCTCCTATTCCAAGGCAACAAAGCTCATCATCTTCTCCATTCATCCTTACCCAACTCACTAAGCTCTCTTCAAACTCAACAAGGCCTACAACTCCAACTCACCAAGTGCTCAACCACTACCAC